GCCTGCATAAATATTTTATTACATTTCATAGACTGTCCTTTGTGCTAATGATTGCTTTCATTATTGTGCAGTACATTTTTAGTTTGGTGTAGCCTCACTTGCTTATTTGTTCATTTCTTGTCGTTGCTTTTGTTGTCATATTCAAAAGAACATTACTAATACCAATGTCAATGGGATTTATCTTATTCTTTCTTCTAGAAGTTTTACAATATTAGGTCCCAATTTAAGATTTTAATACAGTTTGCAGGGTTTGTGATGTAGTGAGATGGAAGGATCCAATTCCCTTTGGTTTTAAAGATTTCACCCTTTAATTTCACAACAGCTACATAATATTTAATAATAATTTTATCACATATTAAGTGACTTGATTTTTGAATCATGCTGGCTAGATTCACATTTGGGTTGTAAAGAGGAGTTTGACCACATCAGATTGATATTTTATTTCTAAAATCTGAAGTCCACCTGAGTGACTCAATAATGAGGAAATGGTGACAGTATGCTGACCAATATGGAGACAGAAAAACCATTAAGAGGCAGGTTAAAGGAGACAGCAGCCCTCCAACTGCTCTGAATACAGAAGCTAACCTATTAAGGGATGGTCATTTAATGTGAATTCACAGAAAGCATTTAAGATTATTAATTTATTCATTTTTAGTTGAAAGGCATATTTTACTGAGAGAAGAGAATGATGCGCCATCTGCCAGTTCACTCTCCAAATGCGCACATGTGTAGAGCTGAGCCAAAGCAAAGTCAGGAGCCAAGAACTTCCTCTGGGTCTCCTACACGGGTGCTAGGGCCCAAGCAACCAAGCCGTTCTCCATCATTCCGCCATGCCATAAGAGGGATCTACATCAGGCATGGAGCAGTCAGGACACAAACCAGTGCCCATATAGGGTGCCACTGCCACAGGTGGAAGATCAACCTAATTCACCATCTCACTGGCCTCCCCAAAAAACCCCTTTGCCTCCAGTTGAGTCTTATGTTAATCACCCTGCTAACAGTGCACCTTTTCTGTTGGGAACCAGTGGCATCAGCTGTGACCACAAGGAACAGGACTCATGAGAAGGGGAGTCAGCACACCTTCTCTCCTTTACCCAGCCAATTTAATAACATCTCCATAAAATAGCAGAGATCATGATGACTGAGAGTGGTCAGGCGTAGAGGAAAAACCAGACTAGTAAAGCATGAAAGTAAAAATTGCGGGACGCCAAAAAAGGATATAAAATGAAGTATGGCAAAGTTCTGACCTCAAATCAAGCCTTTCCGAGGACTGAGGAAGAGGCAACAGGAGCTGCTTAGTCACTTGATAGCCGTTTGCTGCCTCACTTGCTTTCATGACACACAGCTCATAAGGAAACGTTGCCAAAGACTCAACCAGACACTCACTTTCAGTTTCTTCAGTTACCTCCCCTCCCATAGGTCCTTGTGTGAGACACAGAAATAATTTTAACACACTATTGCAATGAAAAAAAATGTTTTTATTAGCCAGAAGCCAGGTGCTCAGGGAGCTTCATGATTTCACCAGATTGGTGGAGAGCAGGGAGGGGAGCTTAGTGGTACTTGTGAGCCAGGGCATTGGCCACACCAGACACCACCTTCTGCCAGGCAGCCTGCATCTGGGGAGTGAATTCAGCGCCAAAGTGGTGGGACAGCACAACAACCAGCACGTTGCCCAGGAGCTGTGGGAAAGACGGGAGAAATGAACAGGGTTAGCACTGGGTCCCGCTTGGACTCACTCCATCCTTATCACAAATGGCGCATGTCGTTCTAACTTCAAAAATACAGGCAGAATGATGGCTAGGATTAGCTGCTTCTACCAACAGGAATCTTCTTTCGCCAGCCAAAATTGACATGCAGAAATCTTATTTCATTTCACTGAATTATGGCAGTTATTGCTTAAAATTGTGCAAAGAAAGCTGGCCTTGCAAGCAAGTTTTGAAAGATAACATTTACATTGTGGCAAATAAACAAACACTTGACCAAGAGAGAAAAAAAAGTTGAAATGACAAACACAACATATAGTTTAGTTAAAACTGGGAGATTAAAGAAAACAAGAAGAAGCAATGGTTGTGAATACAACAAAAATAAAGAAGAAATTAAGCCTCATTAGAATGCCACCGTGATGCAAGCAAATGTCACTTTTCCTTTCTAAACACTCTTTGAACTATGACCTCTCTGTAGCACATTGATTTAATCACAGGAAAAACAAATAGGATGAGAATGGTGGAGGGACTCCAAGCCCACCTTGAAGTTCTCAGGGTCCACATGCAGCTTGTCACAGTGCAGCTCACTGAGCTTGGCAAAGGTGCCCTTGAGGCTGTCCAGGTGATGCAGACCCTCGCTGAAGGCATTCATCACCTTCTTGCCATGAGCCTTCACCTTAGAATTGGTCATAACAGCATCGGGAGTGGACAGGTCACCAAAGGAACTAAAGAACCTCTGGGTCCATGGGAAGACAACCAGCAGCCTGAGAAAGGAAAAATGGCCAGCAGAGAGAGGAAGTCAGTCCCTGGTGGCAAAGAAGGACACTGACTCTGTTTCCACAAACACAGTTCCATTCAGCTGCCTTAAAAAGTGGATACCAACCTGCCCAGGGTCTCACCACCAACTTCATCCACATCCACCTTGTACCACAGGGAGGTGACTGCAGCCTTCTCCTCACCGGAAAGGTGCACCATGTTGTCTGTTAGAGGGGCTTGCTAGTAAACACAGCTGTGTCAAAAGCAAGTGGTAGCAGCAGCTGCTGTGCTCTGCCTTTTATGCCCAGTCCTGCATCACGTAATCCCTAGTCCTGTGACTAGATTGGCCAACACCAGGGCGCGGCTCTGCAGGGTGAAGCTGACTGACGACAGTTCTCCTGTGCTTGGCAGTTTGGGCACGGGCGTAGAAGTCTGCCATCAGACTGCGCCCTCCTTCTACGTATCTCCCAGACCCACACCAGCAGTGCCAATTGATACCAAAAACACTTTCACTGCCAAATTTATTTGCATATATTTTTTGTGAGTAAGTCTGATAGATATAAAAACTACTGCCACATTTTTTTTTAATCACACAAATGAGAAATTTGGACACAGAAAATGGAGATTTTCTAGTTGAAGATCCACTTAAGAATATGTGTGTGGATCTCTGTTTGTGTCTCCAAAACATTCAAAATAATTACAAAAATAGATTAGATGTAATTTTTCCCGTAGGTATATGATATGTACATCTTCCTCTGCTTTGGATTATATCCTGCCGGTAAGAAAAAAAAATGCTGAGTGGGGTCCCCACCCTCCCTTGTCGTGACCATTAGGATTGCTACACTAACCCCTGAAAACAAACAAACATACAAACAACCAAAAAGTCTAGAATGGAAGACAACAACATGGAAAGCTTAGAATCAGACAGGAAACGCCCTGCATGGACCCAATCAGGCCTCACTTGGTGGGACACACTGGGGTACGCCTCACTGGGATATTGGGGATTTCTCTGCACACCAATCCTAATAAAATGTACTGTACCTAAACTGATAACTCTATGGAATGAGGTTGAATACAAACCAAAATTGAAATGTCTATGAAGAAGTCACAGGATGTAGTTAAGAAACCGCATTTTCCCATCAACATACTGTTAATAATACCATGTCAATTAATGCCTTAAGGTTGTAAATGGCTGTTGATGTTATCTTGGGACTTTTAATTGATTGGGATGATACTTTGCTGGCTTTACCTTCAGACCAGAGATGGTCTTACCAACAAATCGTTGAACCTACTAGGATAATAAGATATAGGACTTTATGCTAGGTAAATACTTCCAATGAAAGAACCTCAGCTGAATTTGAACTGTGGTAATGCAGCAAGGTGGAGAAATCCACCATGGGGAGAGGGTTCAGGGAGGGGATGCAGGGAACCCAGTGCCCATAACACATTGTCACATAATACAATGCAATAAATAAGAAAACTAAATAATTTTTTTAAAAAAAGTAAGGGAGAGGGCCCGGCGCGGTCGCGCAAGTGGTTAAGGTCCTCGCCTTGCACGCCTGGGATCCCATATGGGCGCTGGTTCTAATCCCAGCAGCCCCGCTTCCCTTCCAGCTCCCTGCCTGTGGCCTGGGAAAGCAGTCGAGGATGGCCCAAAGCTTTGGGAACCTGCGCCCGTGTGGGAGACCCGGAAGAGGCTCCTGGCTTCGGATCGGCATAGTATCGGCCCCTTGCGCTCACTTGGGGAGTGAATCATCGGACGGAAGATCTTCCTCTCTGTCTCTCCTCTCTGTATATCCGCCTTTCCAATGAAAAAAATAATAAAAATAAATCTTTAAAAAAAAAAAGGAGAAAAAAATGCTTATTTATTTAGTGTTTATTTGTTATTGCTTTTATTGTCTTATTTAATTATCTAAGCAGATAAATTAACTTCAAATTACAGAATAAATCTGACTAAAATATTCTGTGGAGCTGTTACTCTGTATACAAATGAAGACATGAAACTGGAGACCTACCAAGACAGGGAAAAACAGTCGTACCAAAATTCAGCTACTTGCCAGAATTGTAACACTGGAGGACGGTCGGGATCCCTTGGCCAGCAAGTCAGACCCAGACACTCGTTGTCTTTGTGGAACCTTTATTGTAGACATGATACAGCAAAACCGGTGCGCAGTGGCTGCACAGTGGCCACCATGCAGCTGCCGCACAGCCGCCACATCACGAGGCGCACAGCAGCTACATCTTGGTGAGACGTGCTCTCTCCCATCTCTCCCTCCAAGGCGCGCTCTCTCTTCCCCCTCCCCGGTTCTCTGGCTCCCTTATATATTGGGTAACCCGGCCAATCAATGTAAAGGTCACCTGTGCACGCAGCAGGCAGGCCAATCATCACACAGATCACGCACTGTCCACACGCCATCCACGCACCCCTGGGCCAATCACAGCAGACTTCCAGAGACTTGTTTTTTCTACCACAGCAGGAAGCAGCAGTTCGGCTCCCTTCTGTCTAGGGTGTGGGCTGCAGGCTCTCTACAGCTCCCCACAGAGGACACAACAGTTTCTGATGTGACATCCTGATTCTCCCTGTGCAATTTAAGAAAGTGTTGGGAGGAAGGAACGTAAGAAGACATTTACAGCCTGAGCCAACTTTACTTTTTCCTCAGCCACTAAGAAGGCTGTTTTAGAAACACTGCTTTGAACAAGATGCCCCAGCGTCTCTCTTTTCTCTGTATGTTATGTTTAACCTGACTGCTTTGGTAAAGCTCACCCTTCTGTCTTCACAGCTCTTGTATCTTTCCCCCCTTGTGATAAATGATTACCGTCTGGGGCTAGGAGAGACTTCTGAAGGGTAAAATTGTGCTTATCTCTGTTAAAAAAAAATCTGGAAAAAAGCAAAGGAACAAGCATTTCTGGGCTCATCGAGCATCTCAGCATTCCCACTGGCCTGCTGGTCACTCCCCCAACTTGCCAGCATCCCCCTCCCTAAATCTCCTTTTCCTTTTAGGATGGAGGGAGCCAAGCTGTTACTTACCATGGACCTGTATCTGAATTCAGTCACCCAGTGTCCAGAATGGTCTTTCCTTGTAGGCATTATTGACAACAAATATCTGACAGAGTGCTCCTGTCCTTTCTCTCAAACTCCAGTTACACAAAGACTTTCTGATTAACAAGAAAAAGCAAAAACTGGTTCTCTGATTTTAATTGTCCTAAGAATACTCACGGGCATCCATTTTAATTGTTCCTTTATCCAAATTACTTTCTCCTTAATGACCAGAAGACGGACATTCTCTTGTGCTGGTACCAGCAGCCAGTGCTGCCATCCTGGGTTCAGGGAGGGTTTGCTGCTTTGACAGTTGCTACGTACCATGAATACAATGTGAACAGACTTTCCTGTTACATATAACCCTGTAGAAATAACATGCAAGTTGCAAGGCTATCAAATGTTCTTGCAGAATGGGTGTAGTCAGTTATGAGAAAGGATAGTGATCACTGTGTTCATGTCCAAGGTCTCATTCTCAGATTTAGCCCATACAAATGATGTCCCAGAAAGCCACTAAGACTCACTGCTGCCCTCCCCAGTGTGAGCTTGCTTCTGCTCTATGAGGGATGCTAGGTTGTATGTGCTCAGCTTCATCTCCAGCTCCAGGAGCTCAACACACACACACACACACACACACACACACACACACACACACACACACACACACAAACACTCTCACACACAATGGTCTCAAAAAGAAAAGAGAAGAGAAGAGAAGCAAAGAAAAGAAAAGAAAGGAAAAGGAAAGAAAAGAAAAAGACAGAGAGGCATAAGTTCACTTCCTTTGTTCTACTCTGGTGAATTTTCCTGATCTCTTGTTCTGAGCAATCCTCTTCTTCTCTCTCCTGCTCTTCTTGTCACTGCCTTTCAAATAACAGAAATCATCTTTTATCTTAAAAATGAGCATAGAATCATTGCTGTTGAAGTGCTTTAACAAAGATCTGAAATGCCTACAGAGATTAGATATTGAGAGTAAAGAGGGGTTGATGGGATTTCATATGGAGTGACCTCAAATCAAGAAGTATTATCATTTATTGTTAAAATGAATTTTCAGAATTGCTGAAAGTTTCATTTGTACTGCTGAAAAGTTAGCATGATGTTTTCTCCAGCTTTTGTCCTCTCTGTCTCTCTCTCTCTCTGTCTTCTCTCTCTTTCTCTGTTGTATTAGTTAATTCATGGAAAACAAAACTACTCACAAAACCATATGTCTTAAGCAAGACTTTTCTCAAGTGTTACTCTCCCTTATTCTCCTTGACATTCCATCATAGATTTTTCTTATAATCATTAAGTGTACTAGAATGTAGACATTTAGTAAGTCATAAAGGTAATTCAACAATGGTATAACTTTATCTCTTGTTGACTTGCTTTATTCAAAAAGCACTGGTAGAGTTTGTTGTATATTGAATGTAGAAAAAACACAAATCTAAAGCCAACTATTCTTGATGTTGGAGGAAACAAAATAATGATGACACATTTTACCTTCAAAGAATTGTGAATAAGTTAGTCTGGGTGACTCTCTTTTTCAACTTCACTCCACTGCTGCTTTGTCATATTTTTCTCAGAAGCAAGTGGAACTTAGGACATTTCTGAATCAATTTGTTGTCCTCCCATTGGTCTCCTCTGCCAACTTGAATTGTTAACATTAATCTAATTCCAAGAAGAATTGAGCCCTGTCTTAAGAGCTAAATCAGAGACTATCAAATAGGTTCAGAACTGAAGTACCCAAGAGAGTATGAGCAAAAGGCAGAGGTAAAGCTGGTTTTGTTTGTTGATGATGTAGTGAAATGGTTAGGTGTTGAGCTTGCTAATCTGTCTTCATCCCCAGGCTGGGAACTGCTGCATCAAGGACATGGTCCCTTGAATTCTTAGGTGTCTTTCTAGTCTTTTTGTTTTGTTCGAACAGGGATCAGCTTACCTTCCATTGGAGAGTTAACTGTCTCATACAGCTGCTAGTCAGTATAGGCAAAAATATTTTTCACTTGTTGATTGCTGTTCCAGGCTGTGGACATGAACAACTATGTGTGCTAGAACTCCATTTCTTCAGTTATAAAGTGGCAATAACAACAACTGTTTGCACAGATCTGTTATAAAATCATAAGCACGTGAAGTGTAGAAAAAAAGCCTCCTTTGCATTGAAGGCTGATCAAATAACAAGAAACCCTAGTAGGAGATTAAACAGTTTAACAGTGATGGGGATATACCAAGGGACCCCAGAAAGGAAGGGAAAACGCAGGAAAGAAAGTGTGCATGCTGTAACTTACAGGAGCCCTAAGGGACAGAGAAGCAGGAGAGCAGGGAACATATCTAATATGATCTCTAGATGTTGAGTTTGCTGGACAGAATTGGTTGAGCACTTTGCATACTTCTATGCAAAATGGGCACTCCAACATCAGTTTCCTGATTGTTTCACATGTCCTGCTTCCCTAGAATACACGTTCAGTTCCCTTACTGGTTGTCAGATCCACCTTATGATGGGTTGTGATTTTGCTCCTCCCTGAATGGTTAATTTTCAGGAAGGGGTCAGACAGGGAAAGCTGTTTTATATGTAGAAGATCCAGCACTGGCCAACATGGCCTTTCTTCCCGTTGTGTCCCCCTGACTGCTGCAGCAGGAGGTTTCTTCCTTTCAGTAATCTTCACATTGAGCAGAGTTCTGGTCCATGTAGAAATTCTTGGACAAGAGGCAACGTCTGAAATTCCTTTCTTCATTCTGTAACAGCAGAATGTGCTAAAGTTGAATGTATATATATTGTGTGATCTGGAAGCTTCCTGAAATACAAATATGAATATCTATGTGTGTCATGTGCATACAAATACCCAAGATTTTTGTAGCAGCAGTATATATCATAAGCAAAAGCTAGACAGGACCTACGTTTGTATCAACATTGAAGCGATTGGACACATTATGGCATATTTATAAAGTAGAATATTATACAACCATGAAAAACAAAGGCAGATATTACAAAAATAGTTAACACATGGAACATGGAATAACTAAGTCACTCATAAGAAACATAGTATATTTAATGGCTATAAAATTTTGAAAATAAGGCATGAATTAAACATAATAGAAGTGGATCAGATGGGAGAGTGATCAAGTCTGCTGACAGTTAAAGGGATGAAAAAGAGTAGGCAAATAGGTCGTCTAAGACAAGTTTATTTTGTTCTTAGCTGAGTTGTTATTGTGTGAGTATGTTTTCAAAAATTCATTGATCTGTACATGCAAATTGGGTATATTAATACATGGCCATTGACTTAAATGTTAAAGTTAAGGCTAGTGGAGGAAAGTAAACAATGGAATATTATATTATGCAGATTTCACCACTGTATCTGCTTTTATATCTAAACCTACATGGACCATCTTAATTCCATGAAGAAAAGGGAAAAAGCATTTTATTTAAAAAAAAGGAATACAAGTGGCAACAAAAGGAAAATAAATAACCAAGAAGGCAACAAGTAAAGATGTCTCGAGAGCATTCTGTGCAAATACAGCCCAGGAAAGACAAAGACAACCCAGGAGTAAAAGCCACAGCTGCTGGGTTCTTCTCCTGCACACACTTCATATTCCACTGGAAATATTTTTATACAGTTTGTTACAGAGATAATTTAACATGTTGTGACAATAGCACATTGGGCACCTTTACTTATATGTTCTGTGGACATTTAAAATTAATTATGTTGACAACTTTAAAAAGCATCAAGCCCACTTTGTATCTCTCCCAATAGTACCAAATGTAGTGAATTGCTCACTTATATATTTGCAAAACAAGATTTTTGTCTACACTCTTTAGAGTCTTCAGTTTGGCATATCCCTATAACCTTGAGTTTATTTTTTTAAAGATGCACTTAGTTTTATTTCAAAGGCAGAGGTTTACAGAGAGTGAAGGAGAGACAGAGGTAGAGAGAGGATATATGGTATATCATCTGTTAGTTCATCCTGCAATGGTTGCAATGGCCAGAGCTGAGCTTTTCTGGAACTGGGATCCAGGAATATAGATTCAGGTCCTAAAGACTTGAGCTGTTGCCCACTGCTTTCCCAGGTCATGAGCAGACTGGAAGTGGAGCAGACAGGACACAAATTGGTGTCTATATGGGATGCTGGCACTATGGGGCAGAGGATTAGACTGCTACCACGCTGATCCCTTATCTTTAATTTGCAACAATTATAATTATTATCATAACTATTGACAGATATTTGAGGAAGACATTGAGATTTTTTTCCCACATGCTCAATACTTTGACAGTATCTTCCAGATAAGTGTTGAGCTAAAAGCTACATACAGCTAATAGTGACAAATCAAAGATTTAAATGCAAGAGTCGTATTTGTCACTTCTATTTTATTTAATCATTATTTTTATTTTATTTTTTATTTACCTTTCTTCCATCCCGATATTCCCAGACTCTTGCATTTTCTTGATCATTTACCGATTCAACGTTCAAACCACAGGCATTTCCTGCGTGAAGTCCTGCATCAACTTCTGACTAGTTTTGTGTCCCAACGGGAGTCTTGCAATATGGGACAGCAGGTCTGGCCTGGGTTCTATTTTCATGTTTATCAATGAACAAACTTATTTTAGAGGCAACATATTTAAAATCTCAATGCTTAGATTTCTCAGCTTATAAAGTTAGAACTATTATAGAACCTATTTTATAAATGTATTAAGCTTAGTTAACCTAACTTAAAATCATGAGAGTGACACACTAAATAAATCCCTTGTAAATGTTAGCTCTTAATTATAATGATATCAATAATAATATAAAATCAGAATTGTTTTTCTTTCATTGTAGCATATGTGAACTTCTAAGAGAAAAATGCATTTCTGTTTCTTCTTTGTATGGTCTATTAGATATTAATTTCTCCATGGTGTCTTTACCAAAGATATCCTCAAAGCAGTTTCTTAAAAAGAAACAAAATAATCTAGTTAGATATTAATAAAGAATCGAATAAACATATCATCTGCTGTTTCTCCAGTGATCTTCTTGGATATTTATCCCTGTTCTTGAGCAGTTGATCCTTCCAAATCAAGTCTGCTTTGAAACGCAGCCCTGTCCATGTGTGATTTGGCAGGCTATGGAGATTGGCATATTCTAATTTCCACATGGGTTCAGATAAAAATGCTTTATCATTTCTAGGATAT